TGAGAAGTAAACATGCTATTACTCATTCTAAGGCATTTATCCTGCAACATTTCCTAAGTTATTGTCCCTTGAGCCAGCTGTTCCCCTTCCCAAACCAATCTTTCTTTGTAGATTTCAGTTCAGTAAAAAGCTATGTTTAAAAATTTCTCAAAGATTCAATATTTATTTCAGCAACAATTAGATGCATTTGAAGCAGAGAAGAATGCGCTCTTAAATGAGCACGGTGCAGCCCAAGAAGAACTGAATAAACTAAGTGATGCCTATGCTAAACTACTTGGCCACCAGAACCAGAAGCAAAAAATCAAGCATGTTATGAAGTTGAAGGAAGAGAATACCCACCTGAAGCAGGTTTGTGAAATGAGAAGTTAGAAGTCTAAGTTATTTATTTGCTTGATTCCTTTGTTTGTTGCTCTAAACGTTTATAGACTAATCCTGCAAACTACTTGGTTTCTATGGTTCTTAAATTCCCTGGAAGAGCTAGATTAGAACAAACCACCGGCCTCCAGAAACACCAAGAGAATCTGTTTTAGTTTTGACTGAATATGATATACGGAGGGACCACCAGTGCAAATTACCCTGACTCTTGGCTTGGTTGGTTTTGCTTACCTCTTTTGGAGGTTCTAGACTTAGTAAACTATCTGCTGGAAGCAGCACCTGAAAGTTTCAGGCCACTATACTGCGTAGTGGGTGGTATACAGCAGTTGTACAGTGGTGCTGGTTTCTCTACACCTGTATGTTTGGTTTTGGTTTGTTTTTTAACGCCACCAATAATTGTGTACGTATGTTTGTGTTCAGCATTAGTCAAAAGGGCTACTTTAGTAATGATGAAGCAGGCTTTCTTCCTGTTCTTAATCTAACTTCCAAGTATTATGTTTTCTTTAGGATGTCTCAAAACTGCGTGCATTGCTAGCAAAAGAAAAGCAAACCAACAGAGATCTTCAGGAGGAGCTATATGCAATTCAGGGCATTAGGCATTTTGATCCTTCCAAAGCTTTCCAGCATGATAGCAAGGAAAATATTCCTCCAAAAACTCCTTTTAAAGAAGGTAAGCTTAGATATTGACGTAACTGTGCCCTCGTATCTCTTAACTTAAGCAAAGAAGGTATGACAGTCTTGCATAGTCTGCTGCATTTGGGGAAGGAAGGAGAATGGCGCTTCTTGTGTGTTTCACAGCAGATGTTGGAAGGCTGTATCGATGGGGCACTTCCAGTGTCCAGTTTGCTATTGTGCTTTTCAGCCCAGTTTCTTATAACCTGATGCGAGCAGGTGGTATGACGGGTCAGACAACAGAAAGTGTGTTTGATGGGGAGAAGAGGAGGGAGTGGGTTACAGAGAATCAGCTGGTTTGCATGATCTTGCAAGATGTGAACTTTGCTTTGCTACTGTGTATCGCCTACGATTTCCCTTCTGTCATACAGCTTGCAGTTACAGCTAATCAGATGATAGGAAGCATCTCCCGCATGGGTGGTAGGGGTTAAAGTGGCTCAGCCAGAGGTTTGAGCCGTGGTTCTTCAGCTGCTACCTGGCAGGACATTATACTGCTGTAGGTGTAAAGGTAAGATGCAGAAGGCCTACAGATAAATGCGTAGTGGAGGGAAAGATGGCAAGATCATAGGGATGCATGAAGGGAAGCAGTGTGGGAGGGTATAGATCTTAAACCAGACCTTCAGTTTACAGTATATTCCAGGGTCTGAAATTCTGGCCTCCCTGTTACGTGGAGCGTAGTGCCTTCCTCCCCCCAGCAGGCAAATAATTACTCGATGTGGTGGGAGCAATAGTGAAAAACCCAAACTTAGTAACGCTTTTCCATTGCAGGTAATAAAAACAAAATTTAATCTCTTCTTGGTGTTAAGAACAATATCATGAATCATCAATAGATTTATGTACTACAGAAGACTTTGACAGACTGCTTGTTCAAGGTGAACTTGGATGCCGTATATAATACAAATTAGTAGGAGTACTAGAGAAATAGTCTAAAATGATATATCTTTAGAAAACTATGCCTGGTTATACTCTTACTGTGAAGCTGTAGGTGACTGTATGTTTCAGACTCCTGGTAACATCGTTGCACTCTTCAACTGCGAAAAGCGTTCACTGTTTCACTTTTTTGTATGCTGAAGCTGCTTAGTTTGTTTTTGACAGAGCAGCTTAAACTCGGAAAAGGTGAATAAGGATGACAAATGAAATCTGATTTTATGAAAGATGTTTTTTATCTATCTCATGTATACAATTTTATGTTAAATAAATTTTGCTGTTTATGGTTGCTTCAATACCAATGGCAGAAATGCTGCCAAGAGACCCTTCTTCCTCTGTGGCCTACATAATATAGAACCAATGTAGAAAATTGGACTGTACAGTTAGTTTTTATATTCTTAGTGGGATCTATATTCAGGACATGCTAATTTAAATCCTGGGGCTAGATATTGCAGCTGCTGATCTCCAGAAGAGGGTTTTCAGGTCAAACTCAAATTGACTGCATTTACCTAAATGTTTGCATACTGTGGCTAAGATTAGTGTCTGAAGAGGAATGTCGATTTTATGAATGCTGTGCTCACTGGACGCTTAAATTGTCATAATATCTTCGTAGGCAGCTGTTGTAATTGATCAGTGCTGTGTGAAGGGGACTGACAATAGAACTTGTCTTAACTGCGTGGGAGGATACCCACTGTACATGCATTCATTGTAGAGACTTAAATTTTGGCAAGGTGGAAGGCATCTGTTTAACTGCATCCAAAATTAAGAACGTTTTAGCACAATAAAAATTTTAAATTAAAGTATTTGTCTATTTCCTTCACAAACCAGGGATAAAAACCGAAATCATAGTGTAGTTGACCTAATGTTCTTTGTTCTTGTCTTAAATCTTCACAACAAAGCCCAATGTCAGTCTTGCCTCAAAGACTACGTATTCTCTAGTCTTACAGAAATTATTTACAATACATACAACCTGCAATTCCCTTATCCTCTCATTTCCTGTGAATTTCTCTTAATGCAAAAGTAAATACTGGAAGTTAAGTGAAATGCAGAACTGTGTTCTTGTTATTGTATCTACTAATATCCTACGTATGGGTGCTGCAGAGACAGTACACAAAGCTTGGTGTGCTGAATATATTGCCACTTACACTGACATTATAAGCTTAGAGAGAATTGATAATATCTAGGAAAGGAGATACCAAAAATGCATGTTAAGTCCAAGGAAAGAAACTGCTGGGTCTTGTCTGTTAATGTCATCTTTGTGTATTTGCTGGATTACTTGAACTTCTGAAGACTGAGGATGAGGATTAACTTCAGGTGTTTGAACTGAGAAATACTTAGTGTTCAATTTAGTGGTTTGCCTGAAGTGTTGAGAGGCATATTTTAATAAGGAAGTTGCTAAAAGAATTTAATACTGGAGTTATCTCTCCTTGTGGAGAAAAATAAAAGTTTTCTTGTCTGAAAGCTGTAAATGGGGTAAAAGAAAACTGTAGAGGAAATGTGCATTAGTCTGACTCATTTGGTGAGAACATGGTCTTACTAGAAATCCTGCTGTTGCACAGCCTGTATAGCCACTAGTCAGGGGATGTGAAATGAGCAGGTGGTTAAACCGAGCCCAGTCCAGTGAGCAGCAGGGGAGAGAGCAATGGGGTGGCGGTGGGGGAAATCTGTAAACAGCTGAAAATGGAAGTTACACTCTACAGCTATTACACTGGAGTTTTTCTCATAGGATGGCATTCATCTTTCACGCAGGGCTGCTGAAAGGTGCACGCTTTCTGTGCTGTGCTACTCATGGGGATTTTTAAGGTGAAATCGCTATTCATAAATCAGAATGCCAACGTCTAAAAAGCCTTCATGCGAAAACTGAAAGGCATTCTTAGTTTGTGTTTTTAAAAATGCACATGAGCCTTTTATTTCAGGAGAGATTAGGGCAAGTGAATGCTAACAGAAGGTTCCACAAACTCAAACATGGAAATGGGGACACTGAGTTAAGGTACACTTTTAACTGAACTTCATTTTTGGTGTTTGACATATCCTGCATCAAAGGAGCAAGAGTTTGTCAAAGGGTGAAAGTACACCAAGTGAAGCAAAATACTGCAGATAGCACAGGATTTTGCTTTTATGATGGCTACTTAATTTTTCATACAGCCTTAATTCTTAAAACTTTCTAGCTTAATTGGCAGTTTTACCTAAGTGTAACTTTTGAATCCTTTTTCAACTATCAAGAGCATGCTTATATTGACAAAAAGAATAGGGAAACTCTTGCAAATAATTACGCTAGCCTTACGGCAATGTTGATTTTTTTTTTTTGCTTTAGTTTTAAAATACAGATAAATAATGTAGCGCAGACTGGGGAGAGAAGTAAAGCGTGGAAATCAAGGGGAAATTTTGAGTGCTTTGTGTCAACTTCAATCTAAGTGGATTTGGCAGTTCCATGCACGTATGAAATACGTATTAAAAACTGAAACCTTGATACTGGTAGCTCAACTGACTTAAGTATTCACTGCAGGAATCAATTACTTTCATGTTGTGGAACATACCTTTTTTTAATTGAAATTATTTCTCTGATCATCCATCTCACTGTATCGTAGCAAGATCTGGGTTGTACTTCGTTTAAATGTAAAATGAAAAGCAGCTAGAATCTTCAACCTGGCTGACCTAATTAGAGCCCTCCTCCTGTTTCTTATAAAAAGAAAACTGCATAAGACTCAGTGCCAGTGCTTTGAATAAATTTTATACATGCAATGGCTGCACTTGCTCCTGCTGGCTGTTATGAAGTAAAAATTGAAGTTCATACTGAGCTACTTAAATGGTACCACTGGGAATAGACCAAAAGCTTAACAGGATTCAGAGCCACACGTGACATAGGGCTTGGATTAGCATTTTGGTTTCAAAGGTCAACTGAGCTATAGCTGCCTTCAGTCCATGTGCTCTCTGCAGGCACAAGCAGACAAAGGGACAAATGCGCAGTTGAACTGCAGTAATTTCCTAGGCTGAAAATGCCTTCTGTAGTTTGAGGCAATGCCGAAATGCTGGTGGAAATGGAGCAGGTAAGGCTCTGGATATTTGCATTAATAGACTGCTGTCACACTTGGATTACAGAATCTGGGGAAAAGGAAACAGGAGCAGAGGGAGACTCAATTAGGCTTTAGTCTCTGTGAATTACAGTCTGAAATGTGAATTTAATGAGTGGTGCGTTTAGTCACCCAGTGATGCATTATGCTTCAATGCCTGTGATATGGACTACAATAAAATTTTTGTTTATCTATTCCATGAAATCAGTGTTTCACAAAGTGAATGTATTTATAATAAAGAAATTGAAAATATAAGCTATAAGCTAGAATGCTACTGAATTAAATGTAAATACTTAAGAAAAAATAGTCTATCTTCTGTTATGAAGATAACAGATTACACATAGTTTTTGTAACTGTTACACTGGGACAAAAATGTGAAGATATTTTACAGGCCAAGTTATGGTTCTAGCCTGAGACTCCAGTGTTAATGCTTTCCCGATTCTCCTCTTGCTCTAAGCCTGGAGGCAAACCTTCTATTTCCACGTCACTGTTTTTGTTATGATGTAGGGTGAGCGCCCTCAGTCTGTGTCGGGGGAAGGGCTGTGACGTTAGATGTGCTTGGAGTTGTTACTTAGTGCTGCTCAACACTTCAGTATTTCTTTGTAGATTTTTCTTAACTTCAAGTTGTGAATTACTGGTATTTATTAATAGAATTCTAAGGTTAATGAAAGGGAATTCAATGTCCATAGCTTATTACAAGGAAAAATAGGGCATCTGCATTCTAAGAAGGCAGAAACTGGCTAAAGTGGTTTATATATGTTAACTTTTTTTGTCCTGTAAATATTAGTTGTTTGTCATGAGTAAAGGTCACTTACAAGATGATTTTCTTCAATTTTTAGTAGATTTTCTGATTTCTCTTTAACTGTGTGTTAATTCCTGTACTATCGGCTGCTTTTCTGCCTTAACTACCAGTTAAATACTGTAGCTAAACAATGTAGCTAAACTAAGTCTTGGCTGCTAATTCTTATGCATCTACTTCACTTCAGTCCCCTTGTCAAACACAAAGGCCTTTGCCTTTGTCTACAGATTCATGTTTCTCTAAAAACTTGCATTTAAAAAAATAAACTTTGTCAACTTGTAAGTATGAAATTATGTATATGGTCTGAGTACTATAGGCAGCGATCGCTTTCTCAAAGGCAACCCCCCTTTCTCTGTAGGATTTACCAGTTGTTTTCATATAAAGCTATGGATAAAGGTAACTTGAAAATGCACACACTTCACTTTCCTTTCAGCATGGTGGAAAATAATTTCTTTTGAATATGTGCCAGAGCTATATTATCTTTTAGCAGCCAAATAAGGTATTTTGGTCTAAAAAATATAAAGTTCCACTTTATTTTGTACAAATGAAAGATCAGTTTCCATATGCAAATTGGGGAACACTGAAACTCTGGAAGAGATGTGATTGCCAGAAGAACATTGATTACTCCTTGAAGCACCATAGACATGTTGCTGGCAGGGGCCAGCTCTGCTGCGGGTGGAGGTAAGGCTACCCCCTGCACAGACACAGGGTTACCCTCTACCTGTGCAACACTCATGAAATGCTGTAAACCTTTGGGCCAAGGGTGACGTGTTCCCCTCTCTCCCCTGAGGAGGTGAAAATTAGTAATTGGTAGCTGGACTGTTTTTGTAAGAACTTAAGACTGGCTGAGACCATAATCTCAAATTCTTCTGTAACGCGGGAGGGGGCTGGCAGGGGCCGTGTGGCTGTGCTAAAGCACGGTACGCGGGTCCCGCCTTATCTCTTTAAAAGGCTTTTACATGTTCTTTATTATTTCCAACTACTCCAGGTGGTAATAGAGGGTTATTTTCAAGCCGGGGGCATGAGTCTGCCTCTCCCTCCGGCTCTGCCCGCTGATCGAAACTTTAGGCGGCTTCCCGGCCCCGCCTCCCCCGGCCCGAGGGGGGTTTGTCCAGCTGCCCCCGGTGCTGGGCGGAGGAGCGACGGCTGCCCTCTGGTAACTAAATCTGCTCCTGTCTCGGCGCGAGGA